CCAGGAGGCGGAGGTTGCGGTGAGCAGAGATCATGCCATTGCACTCCAGCCTGGGTAACAAGGGCGAAACTCCGTCTCAAAAAAAAAAAAAAAGAAAAAGAAAAAACCAATAGTCCAGTATTAAGCCCTCTGAAACTTTAATCTTTGTCTGGCAGGAAGGATTTGAGATATAAAGCCAACTTCTATGTGGGTAGGATGCATTAAATGAGTTGTTTATAATGAACTTTCACTATCTTGAAGCATTATATATTCTTCAAAACATAAAACATCTATAAATTTCTATATACATAGTTTAAAAGTTTGAAAATTTTTCTAAAATATAAGAAAAAGCTAAAAAAAGAAGAAATGCTCTCCTTACATGTTTTCCTATCAGAAGTAGACTTTTTGTATTTAATTTGCCTCTATTAACTAAAACAAAGAGCTTAAATAATTAAATTCTGAAGTTAAAAAAGGGTCAAAAATAGTAAAACAATCTAAAAATCATATGGTTTTGGCTTCAGAATTTTATTTTAAAAGTTGTACAGGATCAGATTATGAGACTATTGCAAACCTGGGTAATCTGTCAGGTGTATGAGATGAAAGAGAAAAGCCAGTAAAATGAAAAGAAAAAGTAAATACGTTTTCCATTTTGTGTAACCATTCAGTAGTAACGTAACCATTCAGTTAACCACTGGTTAACCAGTTAGCCATTCAAAAGTAACCATTCAGATTTCTCTATACAAGAGCCACATAATTAATATGATCTCTAAATCTTTCAGTAAGTTAAAATATTTGTGTTTATTAAAAAGTAAAAGTATTTGTAATGAAAAATTACATTAATTAAAATCTTAGGCACTTAACTGAAATTAAGGCACTTCAGACATATTAAAATAGTGTGTAAGAATGAGTTTTTAATAAATATCTCAAAAGGCTGATATATTGTGCCTGGACATGTTCTAGTGTGTTTTTAGTGTGTCTGATTTAACCTTGATCTCTCTGGATGGCACGTGGTGGGGTAATAAATCGGCACCTTGCTCACAAACACAAACCTTCTCCTTAGGTATAGGCTGGGTGATGTGTTAATGTACTAAAATCTTGAAAACCTTTCTAAAATCACGAAAACCTTTCTAAAATCACAATGGTATACATACTCTTTATAACACAAAACATTTGTCACTATCATTGATGGGAATACGGCTTCTTCAATTCCTTGTTCCTTTCATGGAAGAATTCAATTACAAACAGCACTAAATAACTAGTGACTCATTGTAAATTCTCCCAAATACTCTTAATGTTATCAATCCTTTATAAACACCAGATAATGTATACCATCAACTTGCATGACAAAGAGGCCCAGTGCCTAAGAGGCTCAACACTCATATCTCAGTCATGGCTGCATGGCCAGGAAAATGAACATCATGATGGATTTCTGCATTCTTCACATTGTGATCATGAACAAAGTCAGTGTAGTTTCTATGTGCAGTCTGGGGTGGGGACAAAGCCCTTGTGTTCCACTGGTTTCCACCACGTTGACAGCAATCACTGGCAGCAGAGAGCCTGGATGGTTGGGGAGTGGGAGGGGAGCACAGTTAGTCAATAGGAATAGGAGAAAATGGATGTGTGAAAGGTAATGTGACTAGCATGCACCACCGCTATGAGTAGCTACCAACATCTGCTCCATGCAATGACAACATTCAAGAATAACAAAATGGGGGAAATCCACAAAGTTACATGTAATAGAAAATATCAATATAGAAATATATGTAAGTAATCAGACTCAGTTAAGTGATTAAAGAAGAAATTTATCAGAAAGCAAGACATTCTGTATCTGTCCCTGATGCTGTTACTAAAATTAAAAGCAGAAATGTTGTTAGGGGTTCTAATCAGAAGAAAAAAATATACTCTACCTACTTCAAATATTTGAAAAAATAACTCTACATAAGGACAAAAACATATATGAACAAAGAAAACTGAAAATTCTTCTTCAAATTATGTAATTTCACAGAATTGAAACCCAGAAAACAAAATTCAGAAAAGACCACTAAAAATAAAAAATCTACCTTCAGAGGCCATGTAATTTTACATCAGTGTTCTCAATTAACAGTAGAGCATCATTGCTCCTTATATAATCAAAGGTCACAGGACCTCCAAATGAAATTCAACAGGTACAGATAAAGTGATGAGATGATATACCCTCTCCAAGACGTAGTTTAGTAGGCCTATTAGGCACCTTTTCTCATAGTGCTATAGAAAAGTCCTACAGAATTTTAAGAGTGAAACATGCGTACATGCAGTTCTTGGTTATAATTGATAGGAGTCCTCCAGTAGAAAGAAAGCATTTGCCATAGTTCAGCAAAGCAATCTTGTGACATGGCAGAAAGGGCAGCACATATTGAAAATAACTACAAAGAAAAATACGACCCTAAATATAAAATATGTGCAAAAATACATTTTTAAACATAGTGTTATCTTTCTAACTCAACCAAATCACCTTTATCCCTTAGGAAAACTGAAAAGAAATTAACCAAAATAATTTTTCAAAACAAACTTGGAAGGCTTTTTTATAACAAAATCATCTTTCTTTTAACTGAAATACAATTTGTTCATCAGACCTGGCTCACAAAAATCACAATCCTCAACTTATGGTCTCTAAAAATTTAGAAAATTAATTAGGTTTATGTTCTCTTCTATCAATGCAAGATTTTCTAAACACTATTCTGTTTTGTTTTTGTTGTTGCTTACAAATGATTTATGGGTTTACAGTACATGAATTGTTTCTCAAAAATTGAAATTTTAAATACCTGATTATTCTAAGCTACTTATATACCAAATCAGTCACTCAAATAATGGTGTCATTTAAAAGATACCAGCAAAAAAATGCTGAAGATTTGAACAGGGAGTAAGTAGGTTTAGACTAAATTGGTTAAAAGTTATCTGCCAGAAATAGAATGAACCATTATGCTGCCCAATTGTTCAAACACAGGAATTATTTCCAAATTTCAAACATTTCTCACTTTCTAAAGGAGGACTGCTTTATATTTTTTTAAGGTATTAGTAAGAATCAAAGCATGCAGAAAAAAAGAATGAAATGCAAAACACATTTTAACTGAAGGTGGGAGAGGCCATTATCTCCTAAATATGCCAGCTCTATATTCAGTTCCATGCCCTTGTTGACATACGCTGAGGCTCATTATGTTATAAAGATCACCATTTTACTCTATTTTAGCAAAGGAGGTCTCAGTACAACCACATAAAGAAAGGAGAACACACGGCTCCCAATTTTTCATTTTCCTTAAAATTTAATAAATTCAATGCTCTTTCTAAAGGATGCATCAAAGAAACCAAGTAATACCTAACAAAATCAAATAGATTTAAACATGTACCTATTAATATGGAAAAACTCAAAGATTCAATGTCATAATTAGTATGCAAACTAATCAGACTCTTATTCCATATTAATGTAAAAGGCAAACACATAACACACTTCTTTTATAGCTGAAGTCTCAGTACTATTTTTCCTTGCCAATAGGATTTGGTGGTAACATCAATGAGATAAAACATAATTGCTTACAGGAGCTGTGTTTTCCCTAAGAAATTGAAAAAACTTTCTAAAAATTACTTTAAAAAATAAATTTGACATTTATAAGCCTCACTCTTTATACTTTTAAGTGTATACCTGGATGAACACAAATATACACACAGTTATCACCACCACACATCCATGTAGAAAGAAAATCAAAAGGAGAAAATGGGGCTGGGGGAGAGGGGAACCCAATCTTACAAACTAATCGCAAGTTATTTGGAACTGAAGTAAAAATATGCCCAAACATCAAGAGCCAGGCACCTTGCAGTTAGTTAAGCCAAAATAACAGTGAAAAATAATTACATAGCAAAGACTGAAAATAATCACCAACCACTGTTGACCCACCACCATGAAGGAAGAACTGGCTGCACAGAAAGCTGACCAAAACCTTGAGATCACCACAGAAACTCATTAGATTTCAGGTACTAAACAAACTAAGAGCAAGAGAAAAAGAGAAAAATCCTATGAATTATCAAAATTCATTTCACAAACAGACAAGTAACTTGAATAGATGATACACCCAATATGATCACTGAATCAAATAATTCCCAAGGAGCCCCACCAAGCCACATATGTTTATTTGGAAAAGGATAAACTCAAGTGATTAACTCCAATAAGCCACAAAGTATCCATATTTGTATATTTACTATTAATCTAAACAAAGACCCTGGAAGTCTAAGTAAGGCGTCCCCAAACTTTTTACACAGGGGGCCAGTTCACTGTCCCTCAGACCGTTGGAGGGCCGCCACATACTGTGCTCCTCTCACTGACCACCAATGAAAGAGGTGCCCCTTCCTGAAGTGCAGCGGGGGGCGGGGGTGGGGCGGATAAATGGCCTCAGGGGGCCGCATGCGGCCCGCGGGCTGTAGTTTGGGGACGCCTGGTCTAAGTGATCAAAGTATCTTTTTCCTGTCATCAGACTCTCTCTCAATCTCCTGAAAATGGGGTATATCATACTTTATCATATTTCAATCATGTTTTGCTTCTGACTTTACCTTCTGTCTTTAACGAAGAAAACACATTCAAAGTAGTGGCATCATGTTGTGTGGAATAACATGTAGTGGATGTATTTTCCTTACAGATGTGGGAAAATATTCTACTGTCTAGCAAGAAAGTTTTTTTCAACAGAGAACCATCCACCACTCCCACATCAATCTAATAAAAGCAGGTTTATTTTAAAGGTATTAATGTTTTGTTTCAAATAAAGAATAAATAAGGACAGCTGTCGGATGTTCTTCATTTAGACAACTGGACTCCCTTCATCACCAACATCCTTATTTTCCCCATCTCAATATGATTACTCAATAACATGCTTTCCAGTTCACAAATATGAATAATTTGCTTTCAATCACATTTAAAGTACTTTAAGATTATGGCTTGGAATTTAGAATACAATTAAGTAAGCAATATTTTATTTTAGTTTCAGGAATTAACAAACCATTTCCTGTCATGCTGGTCTGTTCCAGGATTCCGTGGAAGACTCTCTATCTCCACTGGCACAGGTGCAGAGGAAGTGGAAGGACTCACAAGCAGGGCAGATCTCATACCCCAAGCCTTTGGACAAAAATTATAAAAATTACCTATTTTGCCTAGATAAAAGATCTCTTCACCAACAAATACTAAAATAGCATACTATTTACAAAGTCAACAAAGTGTAAACAAACACTTGAATTTTATATACCACCTTAGAGTTAATAAATGAAATCTTAGTAATCAGTTAAATTATGTTCTTGGATTCACAGGGGCAAAAAATGTTTTGTAGAGCACCTGTTTCATTTACCACATCTTAGAGAATAAAGTAACAGGAACTTATTACTAAATCACTTAAGGGATGAAGAAAAGAGAATGCACATAATTTGTGCAATGTTACATATACCACTATGAAAATCCAATGAATACTACTACTGTTATCATAATTAACCCGTGATCCAGTGTTTTAGAAGCTTAATATTGTCTTACCTGTTGGGAGCCATTACTTTGGGTGGAAACATTATTGTGAATACTGTAATGGGTGAAAAAAAATCTATTAAAAACCCTATATGAAATTACAAGGCTCAACTTTGTAAGATTACACATACACTAATTAAAGATTTTAAAGATATTAACATTTTGTTTCAAATAAGGAATAAAACTACTGCTGGTACCTAAAACTAAGAATGTCCGATACCTGAAAACATCTGTTCTTATAGGCAAATACTTGCTTTTCTATAGTTGCTCATTTGATGTTTCCATATACCTGTATTTTAATTGTGCTTTAGAGGTATATACTTCACAACTAATGTTTATTCATTGGACAACGGCTTTCAAAGATGGCCTAACAAAGACAGCAACACAATACCCACATAAACTTATCTGTCACTTCTTTTGTATATTCCTACCATAAAGATTTTCCAGTGTCGACAAGAACTCAGCATTTTATAACTCAAAAGGCCTTAGTAAAAATGAAAGTTTGAAACCTCTGTGTGTACACCTTCCTCTCCAAATGACTTATAAATATGTTTTTAAATTTTCAGCTTAGTTTGTACCTATCCCCACACCCATCCCCCTAAAAAGCACTTGAAAAAAGCCTCAACCTATAATACAAAAAAAAAAACAAAAACTAGTGAACAGCAGAAAAAAAAATTCAATAAAATAAGAACTCAAAGATGAACTATAATTCACAACAAAATGAGAAAAATGTTTCCTAATGTCAGATATTATAACACAAGGATAAATGGTATCCCTGAAGTAAGAAATTCAACTATATAAATAATAATTCAAGCCAGGCATGGTGGTGCACGCCTGTAATCCCAGCTACTCCAGAGCTTGAATCCAGGAAGTGGAGGTTGCTTGAGCCAAGATGGTACCACTGCACTCCAGCCTGGGCGACAGAGTGAGACTCCATCTCAAAATAATAATAACAATAATGACAATAATAATAATAATTCAAAGTTATAAAAAAATTCCTTGAAAGTGAGAAAATAATTTGCAGATTTAATGACAGCACTGTGTTTCAGGAAAATGAGATAGATAATTAAATACAATCAATCCCTATTGTTCACCACTAACTTTCAAGGATAAAGACAGAATATTTTGGGTACCCCAAGTAGATTTAAAAGCAAATCACTACCAATCATCAGGTGGGCAAAGACTTCCCATAGCAATAATCAAGACTATTATATTATAACCAGCCAAAATCTCACTCTACTAAGAGGAAACAGGCAAAGCTCTCAAATATAACCTCTGAATAGAGTATCCAGAAGCCTTTCTAACAAGGTGAGAGCAGAATAAAAACTACCTAATAATGAAAGTCAGCCAGTTAAGAACCTAAGAATGAAGAGAGGCCCTGCTAAAAGGCTGGGGGATGGAGAGTGAATACATTTCATGTTCTATTTTTTTTTTAAGAACTACAGATCAATTACAAGTTGAGTCACCATAACTTGTACCTCCACTGTCCAGGTTCAAAGCCAAGTTGTGTCACTAGGTCTACTCTGTACACCTTGGTTTACTCATTTGCATGAGACTGTTAGAATGACTAAATGACTTAATATTAGTAAAATACAAATAACAGTGATTACAACAACAACAACAACAAAATACCTTTAAAAGAAATACTATTGGTGAAGCATGGTGGCTCAGGCCTGTAACCCCAGCACTCTCAGGTGCCAAGGCAGGAGGACTGCCTGAGCCCAGGAGTTTGAGACCAGTCTGAGCAACACAGCCAAACCTTCAGCTCTACAAAAAATTTAAAATAGCTAGGTGTGGAGGTGGGTGCCAGCAGTAGTCTCAGATACTTGAGAGGCTGGCGTAGGAGGATTGCTTGATCCCAGGAGGTTGAGGCTGCAGTGAGCCATGATCATGCCACTGCATTGCAGACTAGGTGACAGAGCAAGACCCTGGCTCACAAAGAAAAGAAAAGAAAAGAATCCCAAAACGAACAAACAAAAACCAAACAATTTAGTGTAGATCCATTGCCAAGGCAATTTTAAAGACTATCTATACCCATCAGGCACAATTTCTTTTTACTAACCATGTTGCTATTCCCAGAATACCCGTGATCCTAAGTCTTAATGAAATCTCACCCAGCCTGCTTGGTACAGAAGTTAGACTTACTAGTACATGGTCCCTTGGTAATTCTCTGAAGCTTTTCTTTTCAACTAGGAATAGCTTCAGTAGGTGATCAATAAGAATAATGAGAACAAAATACTTGTAAGTGATGTTAATTGAACCATAGCTTCCTGTTTTCAAATGATTTGAAATATAGAAAGCATTATTTTTTGATAATTATGTATAGTCATTCACTTCCATGAACATGAAGAAACTACTGAATTATTTCTTATTACTGACCTAGTTCAAGCTTTGCCTTTTAAAAGACTACATCCAATAACTGAACCGTTTTGCTCTTACATATTATATTTTCTACTCATTTGATTTCTTCTACTATTTTTCTTTTCTTCTTTACTGCATAGTCAGCCTGTATAAGAAGTACTATTAATTGAAATGTCAACTATCCTTTAAAACATCACCTCTTAAAATACTTTATAGTATTCATGACTTACAAGAGAGTAGTTAGGAGCCAAAATAGTACAAGAAAAATGACTGACACTAGCCAATTTAAAAATCTGCTATTCAAATAGGCATTTTACAAAACTGCAGAGTACAAGGTCAAGAAGCTTTTCAGGCCAAATAGTTGTGACTTTTCAAACAGTAGTGTTTTCCATGGTTCAATGGAGCAAAACTGTTCATACAAACAAACTGGGAGGGCAAGAGTGAAAGGGCATATAGCATGCCAGTCTGAGCTCAGGTTTTCTCAAGCACTGTGACAGCTGGTGCTCAATAACCTTCAGGAGAGTTGGGTCCCCCTCTACATTTCATTTCTAAAAGCCTGGTCTAAAAAAAAGTCATTCCTTAAACATACCATTTCTGCTATGTTTTCCAGGGCCAAAAGCATCGCTAATGAAGAGACACTAACATTTAGCCATTAAAGTTAAATTAACCATAATTACAAAACAGACACTATATATATTCATATTTTTTTTTTTTTGGAAATGTATTTCAAAACATAAAGAAGGACCTCCTATCTTGCAAATAAAAGCCTAAATTTTTCAACTACCTATCATTGCTAAATACTTTGTTTACATTTCTGCTAACTTTAGCAGGTACACACTTTTTACTTTAAGCTCTAACATCCCATATCCCAGCTTCCTTTTCAGGAAAGCAAGACACATCCATTAAATAAACAAAACAGTTTCAAATATGCAGAAAATCTCTAATATTACTCCATTTTTCTTTTTACTTTCTTTTTCTTTTTTTTTGAGACAGAGGCTCACTCTGTCACCCAGGCTAGAGTGCAGTAGCACAATTTTGGCTCACTGCAACCCCTGGGTTCAAGCAATTATCCTGCCTCAGCCTCCTGAGTAGCTGGGATTACAGGCGTGGACCACCATGCCAAGCTAATTTTTGTATCTTTAGTAGAGACAGGGTTTCACCATGTTGGCCTTGCTGGTCTCGAACTCCTGATCTCAGGTGACCCACCTGTCTTGGCCTCCCAAAGTGCCAGGATTACAGGCATGAGCCACCACGCCTGGCCATTACTCCATTTTTCTTAAAAGCATAGCTTATAAATAAATCCAAGAAAAATAAAAGTATACAGCACAGAAAAGGCAAAAGATGTTGGCTTTTTTACCTAATAAAAATTTCATGGAGAGAATTCCACACTTCCTCCCTGCTCTATTTATTTTACTATTATTATTATTATTATTATTTTCAACAGCCTACTGACAGCTAAAGAAATTTGAGGGGAGTCCTTGTTCAAAAAGCAGAGTGTTATTACAGTCAATCACTAATCATGGCCTGACTTTAACAACTTTCTAAGCGGAAAAAAAAAAAAAAGAAGAGATTTCAAGGTAAGGCTGATGATACTCTCAATATCCAAAAGCAACCAACTCCTTTGAAAAAGCTCTAGTGAAACACCAACCATATAAGAGTACAGATAAATTCAAAAATAAACTATATCTGTGGGTATGGTCTGAATCTTATCTCTAACAGGCATTCTAGCAGACTCTAATACATAATAAATGTTAATCATTACATGACACTGTAGACTCATTGTAATATATACTATTAAAATTAATAGAACCGGCTGGGCATGGTGTCTCACACATGTAATCCCAGCACTTAGGGAGGTCAAGGTGAGTGGATCACTTGAGGTCAGAAGTTTGAAACCAGCCTGGCCAACATGGTGAAACCCTGTCCCTATTAAAAATCCAAGAAATTAGGCGGGCATAGTGGTGTGTGTCTGTAATCTCAGTTACGTGGGAGGCTGAGGCAGGAGAATCACTTGAACCCAGGAGGTGGAGGTTGCAGTGAACCAAGATCACACCACTGCCCTCCAGCCTGGGCAATACAGCAAAACTCTGTCTCAAATAAATATAATAAAATAAAATAAATGGAGCCATCAGAAGCAAAACTTTCAGAATGGTAACTTGAAAACAAAAACGGATACTCTCCCCAATGAAACAAACATTTAACTGGTTTTAAAAAAAAATTTTTTTTTTTTTGACACAGGGTCTCACTTCGTTATCTGGGCTGCAGTGTAGTGGCACCACCTCAGCTCACTGCAGCCTCAACCACCCTGGATCAAGCAATCTCCCTGCCTCAGCCTCTATGTAGCTAGGGACTACCAGTGCACACAACCAAGTGTGGCTAATTTTTTTTTTACATTTTTTGTAGAGAAAGAGTTTTGCCATTTTGCCAAGGCTGGCCTCAAACTCCTGGGTTCATGCGATCTGCCCGCCTCAGCCTCCCTAAATGCTAGGATTACAGGCATTAAGTCACCACGCCTGGCCAAAAAAAAAAAAAATTTTATTTTTGAGACAGGGATCTCACTCTGTTGCCCAGGTTGGAGTGCAGTGGTGGGTGATCATGGCTCACTGCAGCCTCAACTTCCTGGATTCAAGTGATTCTCCTACCTCAGCCTCCCAAGTACCTGGGACCACATGCAGGTGCCATCACACCCAGTTGGTTAAATTTCATATTGTTTGTAGAGATGGGGTTTTGCCACGTTGCCCAGGCTGTCTGGAACTCCTGGGTTTAAGCAATCCTCCCATCTTGGCCTCCCAAAGTGCTGGGATCAGAGGCATGAACCAATGTGCCTGGCTTTAAAAAAAAACTGTTTTTAATCGTTAAAAGGCGCACACCAAGTGAAGAAATATTTATTCAATAAAATCTACAAAATCTCATTAAGGTCTAAGTTTGTGACATTTGAACCACAATTTCCAATCTCAGTATGTTAGCAGCTCTACTCCTGGTTGGTGCAGCCAAGAAGATGTGGCTAACACTCCTCTCGTTCTCTATACTTTAAACTGTCTATTTTAAATATGTTCAAGAGCTAAGGAAACCAATCACATCTAAAGAAATGAAGTATGACAACTATGTCTCATGAAATTGAGAGTATCATTACAGAGAAATTATAAAAAAGAACCAAAGAGAAATTCTGAAATTGAAAAGTATGGTAGCAGAAATAGAAGATTAACAAAGGGGCTCCACAGCAGATTTAAGTAGGTAAAAGAATCAGTAAGCTTAAAGACAGGGCAAGTGAGATTACATAGTCTTAAAAAAAAGTATAGAGAGAAGCGAACAGACTCAGAGACCTGTAGGACACCATCAAATGTAAAAACTTACATGTTAATAAGAATTCCAGAAGAGAAAGAGAGCATAAAGAATATCTGAAGAAATAATGGGTGAAACTTCCAGACTCGATGGAAGGGTTATTTCATGGAAAAGTAACTATATGAAAACTAGACTGGCAATATCTACATCAAATAAAATAAACTTTAAAACAAAAGTTACTAGAGATTAAAAAGAAACATTTTGTCACAATAAAAAGAACAGTCCATCAGGATAATATAACAATTATCAACACATACATATCTACCCCAAATCCACAATACACATGAAACAAAAACAGAAAGAACTGAAGGGGAGGAAGAAATAGACAATAGTTGTAGACTACAATAGTCCACTCTCTATAATGGATTAAAACTAGGCAAAAGATGAACAATGAAATAGAAGAACTGAACACAATAAACGAACAGACATCTATAACACACTCCACTCAGAAACAGCAAAATACATCCTCTTCTTAAGTACACATAAACCATTTTCCAGGGTGACTCATATTGCAGGGTGTGTAAAACAAGTCTCAATAAATTTAAAGGGATTAAAAGCATACAAAGTATGTCCTCTACCCATCATGGAATAAAATTAGAAAAAACAAAATTTTGATATTCACAAATACATGGAAATTTAGCAACACACTCCTAAGTAACCAAACAAGTCAAAGAAGAAATCACAAGTTAGAAAATAATTTGAGATAAACAAAAAACAAGAACACAGCATAGCAAAACTTATTGAATCAAAGCAGTGCTTGAAAGAAAATTTAATAGCTTTAAATGTTAAAAAATAAAGATTTTAAATAACCTAATCTTCCACCTTAAGATACTAGAAAACTAGCTAACTAAATCTAAAGCAAACAGAAGGAAAAAATGACACAGAGCAAAAATTAATGAAACAGAAAAATCAATAAAACCAAAAGCTAGTTCTATTTGAAAAGGTCAACAAAATTGGCAAACTTTTGCTAGACTAGTCAAGGAAAAAAAAAACCAACTCAAAATACTAAAAATCAGAAAGGAATAAGGAGACATTACTATGGACCTTTTAGAAATACAAGGCAAAAGGGAATGCAAACTGTGTGCCAACAAATTAGACACCATAGATAAAAGAGATAAGCTCTAGAAAGATACAACTCCCAAAATGAATCAAGATAAAAAAATTCAGTCTGGGAGGGCTCATCCCTGTAATCCGGGCAATCATGGGAGGGTGGGTAAGAGGATTCCTTGAGCCTGGAGTTTGAGACCAGCCTGGGCAACACAGTGAGACCCCATCTCTACAAAAAATTCAAAAATTAGCCAGGCATGACAGCAAGTACCTGTAGTCCCAGCTACATGGGAGGCCTCACTTGAGCCTAGGAGGGTGAGGCTGCAGTGAGCCAAGCCATGCTCAGGCTGTACTGCAGCCAGAGTGAAAGAGCTAGGCCCTATCTCAATTAAAAAAAGAGAAGAAAAGAAAATCTGAATAGATCTCTCAGAAGAGACTGAATCAAGAATTTTTAAAGCTTCACATAAAGAGAAAACTGGCTTTAATGGTGAATTCTACCATACATTTGAATAATTAATACCAATTGTTTACAAATTCTTCCCAAGAAATAGAGAAGGGAACATAAACAAACTTATTTTGTAAAGTCAGTATTACCCACCCTGACATAAAAAACCAGACAATGGAAGACTCTGGCAAACCACTTTATTTCTCTATACCTTAGTTACAACATTTGTAAAAATGAGAAGGTTGGCCTAGATTTTTTGGCCTGTATGCAATGAAAGGGAGAGAAAACTGCTATTAAAATTAACCTATATCTAAATTGTATCCTAGTTGAATAAATCCTGATTTATGAGAACTCTTTTGGACAGGGCCTTGAAGGCAGAAGATGGCATGATGCTCTACAGCACATTTCCATAACTGTTTGCATGCTTTTGGATGATCCTTTATAACAGACCAGTATCTCTGATGAATATAGAACCACAAATACAAAAACATACTAGGCAAATGAAATCCAGCAACATATAACATAAAGGACTATACACCACAACCAAGTATGATTTATCCCACAAATAAAATTGCTTATTTGCAAATCAACCTTTGTTCTTTGAGCTCCTTACACATAAGAATCAAAATTTATCTGTAGATCCTCAGCCACTTGCCAATAACAAATATATGTTATTCTCTTTATGAATGGCACATCTGCCCTGACCCCATTCTTTACTTCCCTCAACTGCTTTAATTTTTCACCACATCAATTTTATCTGGCATTATGTATTTATTTATTCACTGATATATCCCCAGTGCCTAGGGACAACCAGACACTTTGGTAAGTCTTAAATACTTGTTTAACTAATGATAGCAACTACATAAATTCCAAACATCTGATAGCAATTCCTAAGTTGCAAGACATTACTCACCTAAGTTCTTCAGGTTTTGTAGTACATGCTAACAGAAGGAAAAACGATAACATGTCATTAGTTTCATCTTACATGATAAACTGCTGCACTATTCAAAGCAAAACTTTAATTGCTTCATAAGCCATGTTTCATAATCATAAATGTATTTCTTTAAGAAAGGGTCTTTCATGTTTTTGAGGAGATAGGGGTGGGTCTCACTACGGTTGCCCAGGCTCATCTCAAACTCCTGAGAGTTGAGCTTGTGGGCTGCTCAAGCAATCCTCTCACCTTAGCCTCCCAAAGGGCTGGGATTAAAGGTGTGAGCCACCACACTTGGCCCCAACCATAAATCTGAAAACCTGCAATTCATCAAAGTGTTTTGGGGTTCACACCACTAAAGTCAACAATGGCAGTTATTTTCATTTTTCAAATAAAGCAATAAAATGCATATATATCTCCTCCTTTTAAACAGCACCATCTGTAGGCCTCCAGAGTGAGCTGACTCATTATGAATTACCACCAGTGGAAAAAAAGAGGAAACTTTAATTACGACTTTTTTTTAAAAAAAAAAAAGTCAATACTGCCCAACAACAAATCATTACAGTTGTTTTTGGAAAACTGGTGATGACTGTGACAGTGGAAATACTTAAAATTAAATTTGCATTTTAACATAAATTCAGTTTAAAACTAAACACAAGGTTTAATATATTTTTCAAGGTAAACAATGCTTTTTCTTATATAATTGATCTTAATCAGCAAGTAGCACTTAGGAATTAGGAAATGGCTATGTATAACATTGAGGATTACATTTTAAAATAATATTTACCAGAATCCTTAATATTATAAGACAGTATGAAATAATTTTTACTTAAAAAAATTCATCACAAGACAATGTTTTGGCCAGCCATGACTGTACTCCTTTGGATTACTTTGGGTGGCCAAGGCGGACAGATCACTTGAGGTCAGGAGTTCAAGACCAGCCTGGCCAACATGGCAAAATCCCATCTTACCAAAAATACAAAAATGAGCGATGAGTGGTGGCATAAGCCTGTAATCCCAGCTACTCAGGTAGCTGAGGCACAAGAATTGCTTGAATCTGGGAGGCAAAGGTTGCAGTGAGCTGAGATGACGCCACTGCACTCCAACCTGGGGGAGACAGAGTGAGAGTGTCTCAAAAAAAAAAAAAGATAATGTTTTTAAAAATTCCTAAGGGGATTAAGGGATGTTTTAGAATGAGATCTACAAATCAAAAAGGGAGAGACTATGTTGCTGTACAGAAACACAGTTTTGCATACAAAAACTGAACATAACCTTAGACTATCATTTTTGAATTGGGATTAACACAAAGTTTAATCTCTGCTAATAATACAGGTAATTTTTCTCTGTGTAACCCACGAAATTGATTCTGCCAGAAAAGTACTTTAGTTGACTGGAACAGACCTAAGAAGATGATTCAGGTAACTTCCTCTTATGTAAACACCAGCACATAATTAATTGTCAAGGAAGAATAATCCTTTGAAACAGGGTTGCACTTCACCTTTCATTTGTAGAGTTCGTCTAGAATATCGTTTGCTAGGCCTTCTTTCAAAGGATGCTGATCTTCTTGCTTTATTCGTTTTTGTGGTCTGATACTCTGTTTTCCCACTAAATGAGGCATAACAACAAGAGCAAGATAAATCTGAGGTCTACAGTAATAAAACAGACACAAATGAGACAGTCTACATTCAGGTTCTCCTTAAAAGAATCATCCTAAACTTCATCCTACAGGAACAACTACCAATAAATAGTCTTCATTTCTCTCTTTATCATATCATATCATTCTTTCACTCTAGGCTTTTGTGACATATGCAACAGATTATGTTTTTTTATTTTCTCATAAGCATGCATATCACCTAAATACACATTAAATAAGTTTGAAATATCTGTCCTTTTATGGAAACTCCCTCTCTTTCCCATCTAAACTCCTCAGTACAAAGTATGTAATCAAAAGAACATTTTCAGTTACCTTTTCTAATTGTGATGTACATTTTTCAGTATAATTCTCCAGAAATGTTTTTTAAGACTATTGTCTTATTCTCCTTAATTTCCATTTAAATTCAATTCAGAAAATGCCTCCTCACTTTTAATATAAGTACAATAGAATACTACTTCTATTAATTCCACACAGTCAACTTGCCACATTACTGGTACTATCCATTCCTTCTTTAAATGATATTAACTGATTTCCATGGCATGCAGAAAACTCACAACCAGTAATCCACGGTCCAGTAAACCAAAACATTTCTAACTCATGACAACAAACAAGGCGTCATGAGAATAATGAACTTCAGGTTTATACAGAACCACAAATGTCATCCAGACTAATATCCCATTCGGTGCAAGAAACCCTTTTCTATATGGTATCCAGTGGTTGGCTGGAGAGTTAAATAGATAAATTGGGAGTGGGTTAATATATAAAGTTAACGTCAAGAAGGATATAAAAGCTATTATACAATTACTGTTTTTCCATCTATTCAAGAAATTATAGCCAATAATAATACCACTTTTTAAATTTTATTTTGGTCAATGGAAGGCTCTGGCAAACCACTTTATTTCTCTATACCTTAGTTAACATATCTGTAAAAATGAGAAGGTTGGTCTACATTTTGGGGACTGTATGCAATGAAAGAAAGAGAAAACAGCTATTAAAATTTACCTATATCTAAATCGTGATCCCAGTCGAATAAATCCTGATCGATGAGAACTCTTTTGGACAGGGCCTCGAAGGCGGAAGAAGGCATGATGCTCTACAGCACATTTCCATAAATGTTTGCATGCTTTTGGATGATCCAGTCTAAAGACAAATGTATGTTCCTGTTCTTTGCCCTGAAAAAGAAAAGTATATAAAAAGAGATAATTACTAGGTCAAACAGTCATGTCTCTTATTTCTGAGATACAAACACATCTACGAATGTCTAGTGTGCTCCCTGAAATTCAGACACTCTTTATAGTATCAACATAATAAGGGCAGAGTTGAAATCAAGTTGTTCACTTTCTCAGCCAATACAAAATTATTCCTAAGAATTATTCCCCTCCCCTCTACTTACATGATCTCATTTGTCAGAGAGATCGAGACCATCCTGGTCAACATGGTGAAACCCCGTCTCTACTAAAAATACAAAACATTAGCTGGGCATGGTGGTGCGTGCCTGTAATCCCAGCTACTCAGGAGGCTGAGGCAGGAGAATTGCCTGAACCCAGGAGGTGGAGGTTGCAGTGAGCCAAGATCGCGCCTTTGCACTCCAGCCTGGGTAACAAGAGCAAAACTCCGTCTCAAAAAAAAAAAAAAAGTATACATGGCTACATATTTTTGCAGACTTGTCTATTATGTGCTTCTAGTTTACCATTTACTGCACTGTTACAACAGCTTATCTACTTACTGGACACTTTTTACTACACTAAAATTTCCTTAAGAATATGAAATATTTCTCATTCAACCTGATAAAATAAAAAGCCTACCACTATACCTAGGACATAAGCACTCAGTACCACCACTTCTTATGTGAACAACTTTAGAGTCAAAATAGAACATCAAGATCTACTGATTGCAAGCAGTGCTTCCCATTAAGCAGCACCAAAGTGACACAACCAAGCTTCTGATAAACTGTTTCTTTATTTTACCAATATTGATAAAAACCTAATAAAGTTTCACGCATAAACTCAAAGACCATTTACCAACAAAGGTGTTATTATTAGAGAAAAGTGATCAGTTTAACATCCATATTCAAAAACTTGGGGGGAAAAAGGATACTGAGTGTATAGGAGTCTTTAATTTAAATAATTTCTACAGTCTGATTCTTTTTCCCAGTTATTATGATATTCAGATAGGTCCACATACATCCAAAATAACGACAGCAAATAACTGGAGGGCTACTACCACAATGCAGGGTAATACTCACCTGATCTCAGCTTTTCATTTATTAGTATTTATGTTGGAATTTACACTCACATTTTCCTATGCACTTTTATGAGACCAATAGAAAAGAACATGAACACAAAATGTCCCACAGAAATACAAAAACAAGCATGACCAAATGTTAACATCTCTATCTGTTAATAGAAGATGAAATTTAAAACAATAAAATTCCATGAAAAGGGAAAACCCAATGCTGGCAAAGTTTCAGGAAAACTCTTGAGTTTTCCTTTTACCTTCACCTATTGCTTGTTGCATTTCACACGGGTACAACCAAAATAAATTATTATTACTAATAGTAATGAAAAAGTGAATTATAAATTACAAATAGACGGGAAATATGTTTAAAAGATGCCTGCATATGACAAAAGCTGGAAGAGAAACATAGAAGAGCCAAGTGCAGTTGCTCACGCCTGTAATCCCAGCACTTTGGGAGGCCAAGACGGGAGGATCACTTGAGGTCAGTAGTTCAAGATCAGCATGGCCAACATGGCAAAATCCCATTTATACTAAAAATACAAAAATCAGCCACACATGGTGGTACATGCCTGTAATCCCAGCTACTCGGGAGGCTGAGGCAAGAGAATCATTTGAACCCAGGGGTTGGAGGTTGCAGTGAATCAAGATCACACCACTGCACTCAGCCTGGAGAACAGAGCAAGACTCTACCTCAAAAAAGCAAAATAAAAACACAGAAGACATTTTAAAACAGGAAAAGTATAGCAGTGAAATTACCTAGGAGAGGAAAATGAAAAAGAATGGATTTTTTAAAAATCTTCTCATCGTTATAAAAATTTTTAAACATACAGAAAAACTGAATGTCCATATACAATCTAGATTAAACAACTACTAATATTTTGCTCAAATTGCTTTTATCTATATGTATGCATATGTTAAAATGTATTAATTTGCATAAAGCAAAATTCTTGCCTTTTCTGAAGTATCATATAAATGAAATCATTCAATACATAATCTTTTAAATCTGGCTTCTTTCATAAAGAACAATGCATGTGAGTTGCATCCACGCATGTACCAATTAAGAACCATACTGTGGCTGGGTGCCGAGGCTCACATCTGTAATACCAGCACTTTGGGAGGCCGAGGCAGGAGGATCACAAGGTCAGGAGATCGAGACCATCCTGGGCAACATGGCGAACCCCGTCTCTACTAAAAATACAAAAAATTAGCTGGGCATGGTGATACATGCCTGTGGTCCCAGCTACTAGGAGGCTGAGGCAGGGGAATCGCTTGAACCTGGGAGGTGGAGGTTGCAGTGAGTCGAGATCACACCACTGCACTCCAGCCTGGAAACAGAGCAAGACTCGTGTCTCAAAAAAAAAAAAAGAACCACACTGTAACTGATACAAAGTAATCTTTAATTCAAAAGGCTGTATGATTAATATTATTAGGTAGATCTTTTTGATCAGTTAATAAAGAGATCAAGTTGGTCTGTCCTGCCTGTAATCTCAACACTTTCAGAAGCCAAAGTGGGAGCATTACCTGAGGCCAGAAGTTTGAGACCAACCTTGGCAACACAGTGAGATCCTCTGTCTCTACAAATAAATGAAAAAATTAGCCAGGCATGGTGGCATGCACCTGTAGTCCCACCTACTCAGGAGGCTGAGGCGGGAGTATCACTTGAGCCTAGAAGGTCAAGGCTGCAGTGAGCTATGTTTGTGCCACTGCACTCCAGCCTGGGTGACAGAGAGAGACCCTGTCTTTAAAAAAAAAAATGTCACTTAAATGTAAGCTTTTATACACCTCAGATATATTATCAATGAAGAAACAAAAAGAAACTTTTACATTATTTTTCATCCTAAGGCTGGAAAACCGTATTTTTAGGATGGTATGAACCAAGTAAGGAAATTATTTAAAGCATTAATTATACTGTTTCCATTCTGTGGCTCTTTAAAACAATGAGGTATATTCCCTCTTTTAGAGAGAGAAGTTACCACGTAATACCGTCACTGTTAAACAAGTAATATGATTTTATTCCTACCTGATCATCATCTTCTACAACCACCAAGGTTAGTTTATTCTTCTTAAAATCCAATCTGGTTATCTTCGGCCTATAATATAATATGAGAATAAAACCCAAATTACAAATAAATGTTCTCTAAATATGAAATCAAGTTTTTATTTGAAACACATTTAACCATCTAACTCCTGAACTAAAAACTGACAGGAGGGTAAACATAATTTGTAATGCCCACCAAAAAGTCTCATCTACAAGATAGGATAACAGAAAAACGCAGTACATGTTTCAAAAGCATTATCTCTGACAAAATTGAGGCTGCACATATCAGACGTTAAAAATATTAAGGAAAAAGAAAACAAAGAAATCTATTTATTTGATAGGTCTCAATTATGGTGTAAGAGATGCTTTAGGCCTAGGTAAAACTGTTTCAGTGTTGAAGCAGAAGGCAGCACAGGAACTAGACATAGGAATGACCATAAAGCTTTAAAAATGGCATAAAGTAAAACACTGATGATGGTCTTCAAATCTATTCTGTTTGTTTGTTTGAGATGGGGTCTCACTGTGTTGCACAGGGTGCAATGCAGTAGTGTGTTCATAGCTCACCGCAGCCGTGAACTCCCAGGCTCATTAATCCTCCTGCCTCAGCCTTACACTTATACCATAACACCAGGCTAATTTTTCTATTTTTTGTAGAGAGGGCATCTTGCTATGTTACCCAGGCTGGTCTCAAATTCCCCAAAGTACTGGAATTACAGGCATGAGCCACTATAACCAGCCTCAACTCTGTTTTCAACAGGAATTTTGGTTTGAGGAAATAGACTTTAATTTTTTTAACCTACTTTATGGCCCGCTTTCCAACTGTATCTCCCTACCTGTAAATTCCAAACCACGTATACCACATTTGAACTCTGTATTTCTATAAACTGTGAATGTCAAGACAATGTGACGCTCACTCCCACTCACTAATCTTTAAAGATAACTTACATAAAATACACGTAAAAGAGAACTTGTTTACAAGAGCTTTACTAAAACAATAATGAATAAATAAATAATAGCAGGAGAAGGAAAGGAAACAGAATCTCACTCTGTCACCCATGCTGGAGTGCAGTGGCGTGATCTTTGCTCACTACAACCTCTACCTCCCGGGTTCAAGCAATTCTCCTGCCTCAGCCTCCAGAATACCTGGGATTACAGGTGCATGCCACTATGCCACACCTGGCTAATCTTTATATTTTTTAGTAGAGACAGTGTTTCACCATGTTGGCCAGGCTGGTCTCGAACTCGTGACCTCAAGTGAGCCCTGGCCTGGACCTCTCAAAGTGCAGGGATTACAGATGTGAGCCACCAGGACTGCCCTAAGTACTCTTTTAATTGTTTTACAAGTAGTAATTAACTCTCAAGACAATCTTATGAAAAGGTACGAAAGGTGCTTTCTCTCTGCCTAAAGCATTCTTAGGCCTGGAAGCAAATTCCATCTGCCCTCAGGATAAGCTGAAAGTATGAGAGGATTTAACTCTCAAGAAATGGGAAGATAATTGCTCCAGTTCCTCACCCATCAAGGGACAACTGTAAAGGTTGAGAGACAAGTCTCTCAAAGAGTCCCTAAGACGAACACCCAGATGCAAAACTAAATGAAATACTACCTTCAATTTTTTGAGGGAAATAATTTTCAACCTAAAATTCTATTCTCAGCCTAATTATCAAAAAAAAAAAAAGACAAAAAATCATTTTAAGGCATCTAAGGATTCAAACAAATTACTTTTCTTAGGTAGTTACTTCCTTTACTTAAGACAGTTGGCGGGGATGGGCAGAGGGGGAGGGGGGCAAAGAAAAAGGAAGCCATGGGAGGACCACACAGGACCCTAGCTGAGAATACCGGAAAGGGAAGTCTCAAGATAAAAGCTGGAGAGCAACCTGAACAGCAAACAGTTCCAATGTGAACAGAAGAATCATTTAATGCAACCCTTGATAACTTTAAAAAAGCCTGAGGAGAAGACAAAGGCAGGTCATTTAAAGGGATGTGTTGGGTGTGTGAGATGGGGGAGCCAAGAACTCTAGAACAAAAACAAAAAGCTAAACAGAAAGGAAATATAATATCTGTTGTGAGTTCCAGGACTTCAAAGCTGATCAAGAAAAAGGATGGCGTAACAGGCTTTATTAAGCAGTGTTTGGAAAGGGTTGCATGATAGGGGCGGTCCTTCACAGCAGGTCACCTTCCAGAGACAGCAGCTGCAAAGCTACCATCCAGATGGGGAAGAGGGCAAGGAAACTCTTAGGAGGGAGGAGGATCTGAGAGGGGGGCTTAAGTGCCTACGATGGCATTCAGCAGTTAAGTGCCAGAGATCTGGGTCAGAGAGCTCAGAAAGGCAGCAGTGGTTTTGGGGTCCTTTAATCTACAGAGCTTGCCTGATTTGTGTTTAGTAGATGTTAGGGGGCAGTTTCATGGGATATACAAAGCAGAAATAGCTAAAAACATACTTAGTAGGCTTTGTTTAAAGTAACTAGATATGTCAGAATTTGAGTTTGATGCCAGAGGGCTTTGCGCTAACAGTCCCTGTCTAGTGTACACAAGTATACACATAAGCTCTGTACTAGTTCTGATACAGACATATTATAAACACTACCCTGATTCTCAGCTTCTAGAACACCAGACAAAACCTGATGAACTCAATTATGGCCAAGAAATCCAAGAAAAATCTATCCTTGATGTAAAAGTAAAACGTAAATGTGACTTAAAAGTATGAACTTTTTAAAAGCTGGAACAGTATAAGGAGTACAGCTGAAAGAAGGGATAAAAATATTAGTATCTTCCTCTTACACCATAGGGAGTAAAGGGATTGTGGAATAATAAATATTAAAAATAATGCCATGATTACATGAAGGCCATGTGAACATCTGATACATATAAAAATATAAATTATTTGTATTAAGATGTATTTTGTGGTATACTTTGAAGCTAATGGGAAATACAGCTAGAAGAGTTTTAATAATTGCCCCTGAAGAGTGGGAATAATGATACGTAAAAGTGTGACAGGAGACAGTAGCTTCTCATTGACAAGTTTTTCATAACTATTTAATTTCCAAACTCCAGTTTACATATTAACTTAATGTAAATGATTTTACTCATTGAAAACCAAAACAACAGTAAGTATCTTTGACAGTAACTCTTGCTTACCAAAAAAATAAGCCAATTTTGGTATCTCCTTCAAAAACAAGGACTCCTGTTGGTGTTAGTCCCAAACTATAGTCATTCCCATCTCTAGCCTAATGTAAGGGGAGAAAAATGTGTTAGCTTTACTTGTATAAAACGGGTTTCACATTTTCACACAACTTTAAAATTTTATTTTTGTACTGAATTATATTAATTACATACAGGCTAATATTAACACACGAGATGTTTTCAACACTTAGAGTATCCAAAATAACATTCTCAGAAAAATTTATGCATATATTTTAATTTCTAGTCATTGAACATTAGTTTTAGAGTATATCTTCATTGAAAGTGGGTAGCTACACTCCCACTACAAAGAAAGCTGTTTCCACATTCTTCCCATATTGTATGTATGACTTAGATCATGTATTTTGGAAAAGACTGCTGATATGGTTTGGTTCTGTGTCTATACCCAAATCTTGTGTCAAACTGTAATCGCCAGTGTTGGAGGAGGGGCCTGGTGGGAGGTGACTGAATCAAGGAGGTAGACTTCCCCCTTGCTGTTCTCATGATAGTGAATGAGTTCTCACCAGATCTGGTTGTTTGAAAGTGTGCAGCACCTCCCCTTTTGCTCTCTCTCCTGTCAGCCATGTAAATATGTGGCTGTTTGCCCTTCTCTCTCCCCCTATACGTTTCCTGAGGCCCACAGAGAGGCAGAAGCCTATAAAGCCTACAGAACCATGAGCCAATTAGACCTCTTTATAAATTACGCAGTCTCAGGTATGTCTTTATAGCAGTGCAAGAACGGACTAATACAACTGCCTTTCCAGAAAAATGTTACTAGTTAAACTAGAAATAAATCACTACAAAGCTGTTGCACAGTTTATCAAAATCTTTAAGCTATAACTCTTCAACTTTGCATTCTGAATTATTTTAACAGAGCCTACTCAGTGTAAGTCATGTAATAGGAAGTTGAAAGAAAAATGGCTCAAAAGCTTAAAATAATTTTTACAGGGGAAAAAAACAGCTTAAGGGAACCAAATACCTTGTGTTAGGGATTTGATTGCTTCTCTTCTTTCTTGTAATGAACTTTTCTGTGAGATTCTAGTCACTCAGTATTTAACCATACATCCAAAGTACCCAGTGCTAGCTTATGCAAACTCCATGTCCTCCCTCATACTGAAATATTCCACGGTCGCTGTGAATCTCCAAAGAATAAATTTTTTAAAAAGCATTGCAACACATGCTTACCTTGACCACATGCATATCAACCCCATACATTTCTAGCCATTTGGCTTTATTCAGATAATTGGTTTCAGCCTGTGCTGGTGTTTGACCTCTGAAATTTAAAACAATTATTTTTAAAATAACAATAAACATAAAATAAATTCTATACCAAGGATACAAATAGAAGAAAATGAATATGAAATAACTATTATAATTTTTAAAGAAAGTATAGTCAAATGCCAGATACCTGTATTCCTTCCATTTTTCAAAAATAGCCAGTTCCATCTCTTCAGTCTGAGTAGGCACAAACCTGAACTCAGAGACAAGTTCAGGACTATGCTCAGCAAGATCATAGTCACCAAGTTCAGCTATAAACAGAAGTTTCAAAAAGTTATATGTATTTCCTGCTAAATGATTCAAAAACCATTTCATTAATGAAAATTGTTAAGATTAGAAAGATTCTTTCCTAGGAATTTCTTATAGAAATTCATAATAGACAATTCTCCAAAAGTGAATCCAGCATATCAGTCATATATATATATATATATATATCTCATGTTTATTGTTGGTAGTGTATTTTTAATTACATATCTTTCTCTTAATCTATTCACACCTCGGTGCTTAGCCTTTGAAAACTGCTTTCTAGACTTCCATAAAGAGATACCTCTGACCTTACAGTGAATAAATGAAAACATTTAGCAATCATTAAAAGACAATTAACTGGCAACTATTAAGAATATTACTAATGCTGGGTATGGTGATTTATGCTTAGAGTCACAGTACTTTTGGGGGTTGAGGTGGGAAGATCATTTGAGACCAGCCTAGGCAACACAGCAAGACCTCCTCTTTGGAGGGTGGGGGCGGAAGCACAAAAATTAGCCTGGCATGATGGCCTCTAGACCCAGCTACTAAGGTGGCTGAGGCGGGAAGATCATTTGAGCCCAGGAGTTCAAGGGTTCAGAGAGCTATGATCACACAATGCACTCTAGCCACCTGGGTGATAAGAGTGAGACCCCGTCTCCAAAAAAAAAAAAAAGAATAGTACTGATATACACTGAATATGGCATATTATATCTATGTAAAATATAGTCCCTGTCTTCCAAAATTTTAAAATTATTAATCCTAAAAAAATAACTGAAATGAACTAAAAAAAACTGGTGGGAGGAAGCAGCAGGAAAAAAACTGAACGATGCACAAACATGTATGTACTCATCTGTGGTTATTTCTGAACAAAAGGTGGGCTTGGAGAAAAAGGACTGCTAAACTGTATGGCTTCAGCAACAATTTACTCTTACATAACTGCATTTCTGTTAAGGAAAAAGTTAGCCGAAGTCCCCATCATAACATTTACTGACTTAACAGGTAGACTATGACTTTTCAACATTTCAGGTGGGAAGGGAGGAATTACATTAAAGAGAAGAAAAAGAAGGCAATGTTCTAAAACAAGTAAGAGTCAGAGTTGGACACTGATAGAAGTTTATACAAAAACAGTGTTGTTTCTTTCCTTGCACATAATTAGAATCTTCTGAAATTCTTTAACTAAAAACACAAATAAAAGGATTATACTTGAGTCTTAACAGTAAACATAAGAACCTCTTACCTTGCAGATTATAAGCTGCCAATTGCACTGCTGTATCAAAGGGACATTCTAATCTAAGGCCAAAACACAAGTTTGTTAGAAAAGTCAATTTCATAACCTTCATTTTTAAGATAAGCAAAAATAACACATACTTTATGTTGATCATTTGTTTTTCACAACTATAAACTTATTTTTTAAATAATTTTTCAACCACCCAAGGAAATGTGCATTGATCCTTAAATAACTAATACTCACTTTCCGCTGAGAATATCTTGTTTTAACTGAAGAACAAATAAATACCTAAGAAAAATGAAAGGCACAAATTTAACCCAACAGCACAGTCTACTGTGAAAAAAAAATCTTACCCTTCTAATTTAAGAAGTATTATTTTATTAAAAATTATTTGTATTAATATATAAATGATGTATATCGTTTGTGGATACATAAAATAATTGAATGATTTTATATAATTTTTAAGGATCAAGTCAGGATACGTGGGATATCCATCACCTTAAATATTTGTCTCTTCTTTATGCCAGAAATATTTGAATTATTTTCTTCCAGCTATTCTGAAATGTAAAATACGTAATGGTAAACTATAGTCACCCTACTGATCTAACACTAGATCTTAGAAGTATTCTTAATTATAGATTCAGTGCAGTGGCTCACACTTACAATCCTAGCACTTTGGGAGGCCGAGGCAGGTAGATTACTTGAGGTCAGGAGTTCAAGACTAGCCTGGCCAACAGGGCAAAACCCCATCTCTACTAAAATACACAAATTAGCTGGGTGTGGTGGCAGGTGCCTGTAATCCCAGCTGCTCAGGAGGCTGAGGCAGGAGAATTGCTTGAACCCGGTGGGGGGCAGAGGTTGCAGTGAGCTGAGAACATGCCATTTCACCTCAGCCTGGACAACAGAGCAAGACATCTACTTCTTATGTGATAAGACATCTTCTTATGTTATAAAACATCTACTTCTTATCCTTCTTATGAAGGATAAAACTACAGATAATAGCTACAATCTCATTGTCAAGGTATTCTAGAGGAAACCCTTCTAAAGGAACTCAAAAGCTCAACTTTTTCATTTAGTAAATAGCATGTGTACATGGAGTCATGAATTTATGATAGAGACCATGAATAAATACAAAGGAGGCAGGATAAAATTAAAGTAAGTATATATAACATAAGGTTTATTCAAAACTATTCAAACCAAAATCCAATGTTTTTCATTAATCAATGGCATTTCAATGAGTAAAGAAAGTTGGGTGCCAATTTGAATAAACTCCCTGTGGCCAAAGATAGATTATTTTCAATATCAATAAATATAATATTGCAATGTATTGAAACATATCAATCCTGCTAAAATTTCTGAGTTGAGAGCGACATTTAAAAAAAAAGAACTCACTAGTCAGCTTTGGAGGATGCTAAGGAACCAACACTTTATTTTGAAAACGATAAAGAAAAAGAATCATACACTTAAAAAACACTGTTCCAGAATAAAATTCTATTATTTGAGGTCTTGTTACCCGGGGCCAGAAATCCATTTTATTAGTTGACTATAAATTGGAAACAATATAAAGACAATCTTTCAAAACTATCAAAATACCCCGGCCCGGCACAATTCTAGACAGTGTTCTTACCGGGTTAGCTCCTCACGAAGATTATTTGGCTCTGAGGAATAAAACTTAACTCGAAGATGCAGACAATAAGGTGAACCAACTGTCATTAAAAAAAAAAAAAAAGACGGGGGAGGGGTTTAATAGACTATTTAAGTAATACTCTTAATACTCTTAATACTTTTAATACCAGACAGAAAATTGGCCAAAAATCTACTGGAGACAGGTTTTTGTGGCATTGCTACAGGTTAGATCATAGACTTAAACCTGACACAAAAAGATCAATTAGATTTTTTTAAATGTACCAAACCCTCATACAATATATTAATATCCTCTCTCATCCGAAGAACAGACAGCTCTAGACTAATTTTAACAGTTCAGGGTCAAATGCATCCAATCAAAGTCTTACTGTGCAATCTAACAGTCCTGAAAACCTGCTAACCTGTATTTCTCGAGAGAACTGAGGAATGCCTATGTTATTAACTGCTCATAGTGAATCTTCCCACACAAATTCATTTCAGCTAGTTCACTAACTTCTATAATTTCAGTGGTCTCATTATTTTGAGACAAGAGTTGAGGCGCCCTAAAAACTCTGATAAAAAGTCAAGTTGGATAATGGATAAACAACGGTATTTTCTTTCTGAATGACACTAATATTTTAAGTGAATTGTTTCATTTTTCTTAATTTTAAAATATTATAACAAAGTCTCGAAACATTTTCAATATTAGGACATATAACAAACAGGGCTAAACGGGAAAATTCCAAAACAAATAATTAACAAATAACAGTTAAGCATTTTGGAGAAAGTCAATCCCATTTGCAATCTGCAAGGTTTTCTCCTGGAAAGTTAAACCCCAACATGGCTGAGTCTAGATTAGTATCAAGACTGTGTAACTTGGGGAGTGGCTAAGTGTATCAAAATAAAATGATTTCTAGAAAATGAAAATGCCAAAAAATTCATCTGAAATGTAATTTCTTATGTCCTACTAAGAATCAGAATTTCTAATATAGTCTATTTCCTCTTCCCCCCCACACACACATAATTTTTCAGGACTTACTTTTTACTTGCTTTTTGATGCTTTTCGTACCATCCAACCAATGCTGAAAAACAAATACAAAAATTTAATTAAGCAGAACTTTAAAATTTTAATTACTAAAAGTTACTTCATTGTGCCTATACTGATAACCACAAGGAAATACTTCACAAGAAAAAAAGTGAAGTGAATGAGAAAAGAGGTGAGGGGGCAGAGTATCTATTCAATATCCACAGCAAGCTTCTGATGCACATGAACAAAAAAACCTAAAACCTGATAGGTGACTTATTTTTTTAATACATACTTTAAGTTCTGTGATACATGTGGAGAACATGCAGGTTACATAGGGATACACGTACCATGGTGGTTTGCTGCACCTATCAACCCGTCATCTACATTATGAATTTCTCCTAATAATATCCCTCCCCGCATTCCCCAACAGTGCCCCGGGGTGTGATGTTCCCCTCCCTGCATCCATGTGTGTGTGTGTGTGTGTGTGTGTGTGTGTTTTACTTAGGTAGCTACTTACCATGTGTTCTTATTGTTGAATTCTCACTTATGAGTGAGACCATACAGTGTTTGGTTTTCTGTTACTGTATGAATTTGCTGAGAATGATGGTTTCCAACTTAATCTATGTCCCTGCAAAGGACATGAATTCATCCTTTTTTATGGCTACATAGTATTCCATGGTGTGAATGTGCCACATTTTCTTTAACCAGTCTATCATTGATGGGCATTTGGGTTGGTTCCAAGTCTTTGCCATTGTGAAAAGTACTGCACTAAATATATGTGTGCATGTGTCTTTATAGTAGAATGATTTATAATCCTTTGGGTATATACCCAGTAATGGGATTGCTGGGTCAAATGGTATGTGTTTCTAGAACCTTGAAGAATCACCACACTGTCTTCCACAATGGTTGAACTAATTTACATTCCCATTAACAATGTAAAAGAGTTCCTATTTCTCCACATCCTTTCCAGCATCTGTTGTTTCCTGCTTTTTAATGATCGCCATTCTAACTGGCATGGGATAGTATCTCATTATGGTTTTGATTTGCATTTCTCTAATAAACAGTGATGATGAGCTTTTTTCCATATAGTTGTCCACCGCATAAATTTGTCTTTTGAGAAATGTCTGTTCATATCCTTCACCTACTTTTTGATGAGTTTGTTTTTTTCTCAAAAATTTAAGTTCCTTGTAGATTCTGGATATTAGCCCTTTGTCAGATGTGTAGATTACAAAAATTTTCTCCCATTCTGTTGGTTGCAGGTTCACTGTGATGATAGTTTCTTTTGCTGTGCAGAAGCTCTTCAGTTTAATTAGATCAGATGGTTGTAGATGTGTGGTGTTATTTCTGAGGCCTCTGTTCTGTTCCATTGGCTATACAGGCTCTTTTTTGGTTCCATATGAAATTTCAAGTAGTTTTTTCTAATTCTGTAAAGAAAGTCAAGGGTACATTGATGGGGATAACACTGAATATAAATTACATTGGGCAGTATGGCCATTTTCACAATATTGATTCTTCCTATCCATGAGCATGGAATGTTTCTCCATTTGTTTGTGCCCTTTCTTATTTCTTTGAGCAGTGGTTTGTAGCTATCCTCGAAGAGGTCTTTCACATCCCTGTGAGTTGTATTTCTAGGTATTTTATTTTCTTTGTAGCAATTGTGAATGGGAGTTCATTCACAATTTGGCTGTCTGTTATTAGTGTATAGAAATGCTTGTGATTTTTGCACACTAATTTTCTATCCTGAGACTTTGCTGAAGTTGCTTATCAGCCTAAGGAGATTTTTGGACTGAGATGATGAGGTTTTCTAAATACACAATTATGTCATATGCAAATAGAGACAATTTTACTTATTCTCTTCCTATTATACCCTTTCTTTCTTTCTCTTGCCTGATTGCCCTGGCCAGAACTTCAAATACTATGTTAAATAGGAATGGTGAGAGAGGGCATCCTTGTCTTGTGCCAGTTTTCAAAGGGAATACTTCTGGCTTTTGCCCATTCAGTATGATATTGGCTGTGGGTTTGTCATAAATAGCTCTTATTATTTTGAGATACATTCCATCAATACCTAGTTTATTGAGAGTTTTAATGTAAAGGGGTTCTGAACTTTATCAAAGGTCTTTTCTGCATCTATTGAGAAAATAATGTCGCATTTGTCATTGGTTCTGTTTGTGATGGATTACATTTGTTAATTTGTGTATGTTGAACCAGTCTTGCATCCCAGGGATGAAGCCGACTTGATTGTGGTGGATGAGCTTTTTGATGTGCTGCTGGATTCGGTTTGCCAGTCTTTTATTGAGGATTTTCACACTGATATTCATCAGGGATATTGACCTGAAATTTTGTTGTTGTTGTGTCTATGCCCAGTATTGTTATCAGTATAATGCTGGCCTCAGAAAATGAGTTAGGGAGGAGTCCTTCTTTTTCTATTTGGAATTGCTTCAGAAGGAATGGTACCAGCTCCTCTTTGTACCTCTGGTAGAATTTGGCTGTGAATCTGACTGATCCTGGGCTTTTTTTGATTAGTAGGCTATTAATTACTACCTCAGTTTCATAACTTGTTATTGGTCTATTCAGGAACTTGACTTATTCCTGGTTTAGTCTTGGGAGGGTGTATGTGTCCAGGAATTTATCCATTTCTTCTAAATTATCGATTTTATTTGCATAGAGGTGTTTATAGTATTCTCTGATGGTTCATTTGTATTTCTGTGAGATGAGTGGTGATTTCTGTGCATTTTATGAGGAGTGTTTTACTTCCAATTATGTGGTCAATTTGAGAATAAGTGTGATGTGGTGCTGAGAAGACTGTATATTCTGTTGACTTGGGGGTGGACAGTTCTGTAGATGTCTATTACATCTGCTTGGTCCAGAGCTGACTTCAAGTCCTGAATATCCTTGCTAATTTTCTGTCTCATTGATCTAACGCTGACAGTGGAGTGTTAAATCTCCCACTATTATTGTATAGGAGTCTAAGTGTCTCTGTAGGTGTCTAAGAACTTGCTTTATTAATCTGGGTGCTCCCGTATTGGATATATGTATATTTAGAACGATTAGCTCTTCTTGTTGCATTGATTCTTGTGCCACTGTGTGATGCGCTTCTTTGTCTTTTTTTGATCTTTGTTGGTTTATTGTTGCATTGATCCCTGTACCACTGTTTAATACCCTTCTTTTGTCTTTTTTTGATCTTTGTTGGTTTAAAGTCTTTTTTAACAGAGACTGGGATTACAACCCCTGCCTTTTTTTTTTTTTTTTTTTTTTTTTTGCTTTCCATTTGCTTGGTAAAACTTTCTCCATCCCTTTGCTTTGAGCCTGTGTGTGTCTTTGCATGTGAGATGGGTCTCCTTAATACAGCACACCAATGGGTCTTGACTCTTTATCCCATTTGCCAGTCAGCGTCTTTTAAATGGGGCATTTAGCCCATTTACATTTAAGGTTAATATTGTTATGTCTGAATTTGATCCTGTCATTATGATGCTAGCTGGTTATTTTACCTGTTAGTGGCAGTTTCTTCATAGTGTTGATGGTCTTTACAATTTGATATGTTTTTTTTCAGTAGCTGGTACTGGTTTTCCTTTCCATATTTAGTGCTTCCTTCCAGACCTCTTGTAAGGCAGGCCAGGTGGTGACAAAATCTCCCAACATTTGCTTGTCTGTAAAGGATTTTATTTCTCCTTTGCTAATGAAGCTTAGGCTGGATATGAAATTCTGGGTTGAAAATTCTTTAAGAATATCGAATATTTTCCCCCACTCTCTTCTGGCTTATAGGGTTTCTGCAGGGAGATCTGCTGTTAGTCTTATGGGCTTCCCTTTGTGGTTAACCTAACCTTTCTTTCTGGCTGCCCTTAACATTTTTTCCTTCATTTTAACCTTGGTGAATCTGATGATTATGTGTCTTGAGGTTGCCTTTCTTGAGGAGTATCTTAGTGGTGTTTTCTGTATTTCCTGAATTTGAATGCTAGCCTGCCTTGCTAGGTTGGGGAAGTTCTCCTGGATAGTATCCTAGAGTATTTTCCAATTGCGTTCAGTTCTCCCCGTTACTTTCAGATACACCAATTAAACATGTTTGGTCTTTTCACACAGTCCCATATTTCTTGGAGGCTTTGTTCATTCCTTCTCATTCTTTTTTATCTAATCTTGTCTTCAAGCTTTATTTCATTAAGTTGATCTTCAATCTCTCATATCCTTTCTTCTGCTTGATCATTTTGGCTACTGATATTTGTATAAGTTTCATGAAGTTCTCCTGCTGTGTTTTTCAGCTCCATCAGGCCATTTATGCTCTTCTCTAAACTGGTTATTCTGGTTAGCAATTCTCTAACTTTTTTTCAAGATTCTTAGCTTTCCGGCATTGGGTTAGAACATGCTCCTTTAGCTTGGAAGAGTTTGTTACTACCCACCTTCTGAAGACTACTTCTGTCAATTTGTCAAACTCATTCTCCATCCAGTTTAGTTCCCTTGCTGGTGAGGAGTTATGATCCTTTGCAGGAGAAGATGGGTTCCGGATTTTGAAATTTTCAGCCTTTTTACACTGGTTTTTCCTCATCTTTGTGAATTTACCTGCCTTTGATGTTGTGACCTTTGAATGGGGTTTCTGTGTGGACGTCCCTTTTGTTGATGTTGATGCTATTCCTTTCTGTTTGTTAGTTTTCCTTATAACAGGCCCTTCTGCTGCAGGTTTGCTGGAGGTCCACTCCAGACCCTGTTTGCCTGTATTACCAGCAGAGGTTGCAGAACAGCAAAGGCTGCTGCCTGTTCCTTCCTCTGGAAGTTTTGTCCCAGAGGGGCACCTGCCAGATACCAGCCAAAGCTCTCCTATATGAGGTGTCTCCCAGTCAGCAGGCATGGGAATCAGGGGCCCATTTGAAGAGGCAGTCTGTCCCATAGCAGAACTCAAGCACAGTGCTGGGAGATCCACTGCTCTCTTCAGAGACAGCAGACAGGAACATTTAAGTCTGCTGAAGCTGCGCCCACAGCCGCCCCTTCCCCCAGGTGCTCTGTCCCAGGGAGACAGGAGTTTGATCTATTAAGCCCCTGACTGGGGCTGCTGCCTTTCTTTCAGAG